GGGCTGCTGCTTCCACAGTCAGATGCAGAGAAGAGGGGCAGCTCAGAGAAGGTCCCCGATCCTTGATAGCTTTCCCAGCTCCTGGCTTGACCCCCAAAGTCCAGGTGGGGCTCTCTGTGACCCAGGGGTTGGGCTGCACTGAGGTAAGGGAGAGGCGACACTGGGACTTCTACATACGGCGCAATGCAGCCAGCTCTAGGCAGGAGCATGGAAAGCTGAGTATAACAGTGAAAAGTGGGTGAGGGGTTTTAACCAAGGACAAAGAGGGGGGAACATGGTACCCTGGGGTTATTAATATCCCCACAGAGCTGGGTTTGTGGATTTCCTAGACTCCATTCCCCAACCCCAGAGGCACAGACAGAACCCAGGTGTCCTGGCTCCCATCCCCCGCAGCCCCAATCTGTGTGGCCCTCACCTCCCGCTGCCCCTACCCCACCCATTTGTGGTTTCCAGCCCACTGCTCCCCAGCCAGCTCCTCCAGCCAGTTCGCTCCACCTGGGCTCCTGGGGGTGTGTCCAGGGGGGACACCACCTGGCATCGGGGGGCACCCAACCCCCACAAGACTCAGGGCAGGGTGTGGGGTGGATTGAGACCTAAAGAAACGGGCAGAGGAGCTGGGGTCTGCAAAGGACCAGATGCCATGGGGAGGGGCACAGGGATAGATAGATAGATAGATAGATGCTGAGTGAAGTATGGAGATGGATGGATGGTGACGCTAGAAGACAGGAATGGGGCGAGATGGATGGATGACACCCTGGGAGCAAGGAAGGGATGGAGGGATGGATGGAAGTGAGGGATACATGGATGAAGACAAACACGGGAATCTGGGAATGCATGGATGGATGAAAGCACAGATGGGATCTGGGGATGGAGGGAGGGATGGAGGGATGGAAGCGAGGGATACATGGATGGATGGATGGAAGCACAGCTGGGATCTCGGGAAGAACGGGGGGAGGGAAGGAAGTGAGGGATACATGGATGGATGGAAGCACAGCTGGGATCTGGGGATGGAGGGAGCGATGGAGGGATGGAAGCGAGGGATACATGGAGGGATGGAAGCGAGGGATACATGGAGGGATGGAAGCACAGCTGGGATGTGGGGATGGAGGCAGGGAGGGGCAGGTGGAGCGATGGAGGGATGCCCTGGGATCTGGAGACAGGGGGTTGATACACATTCCAATGAGCTGCAGGTCCCTGGTTGTTCTGTGGGGTTAAATAACTGAGGGGCACAGTGAAGAGAGAGGATGAGCTGGAGACATGGGGAGGGCTGCGGCTGCAGGTGGGGCAGCAGGGAGAGCCTAGGGGGATGATTATGCATCCAGGTCCAGCTCCAACCCTTTGGGACCATCCCAGCCAGACCCCCAGACCCGCCTCTGGATCTGCCCCAGCCAGACCCACCCTGGATCTGCCCCGGCCAGACCCCTAGCACCCCCCCTGGATCTGACCCGGCCAGACCCCTAGCACCCTCCCTCTGGATCTGCCCCGGGCACTCCCCAGCACCCCTCTCTGGATCTGCCCCAGCCAGACCCCCAGCACCCCCCTCTGGATCTGCCCCAGCCAGACCCCCAGCACCCCCCTCTGGATCTGCCCCAGCCAGACCCCGTCCTGGAGCTGCCCCAGCCGGGTGGGGCGCAGCGGGTCTGGAGGCCTGACTCTGCAGCGTCTATTTTGGGCAGGTTCAGGCAGCTTTCTGTCCGGAAACCCAAATAGTAATTAGAGCGAGTGTCCAGAGTGGGGGGGGGGGATTCAGAAAAGGAATGAAGGCAAGAGGAGCAAACAGGAAATGAAAGAAGAAACAAAAAGGAAGAGAGGAAGGGCCCAGACACTGGGGGTCCGGGCGGGGGGGAAGGAGGAGAGGAAGGGCCCAGACACTGGGGGTCCAGGTGGGGGGGGAGGAGGAGAGGAAGGGCCCAGACACTGGGGGCCGGGCAGGGAGGGGGGGGAGCAGAGGAAGGGCCCAGACACTGGTGGTCCGGGCGGGGAGGAGGAGGAGAGGAAGGGCCCAGACACTGGGGGTCTGGGCAGCGGGAAAGGAGAGGAAGGGCCCAGACACTGAGGACTGGGCGGGGGGGAGGAGGAGAGGACGGGCCCAGACACTGGGGGTCCAGGGAAGGGGGGAATCAGGACTTGCTGCCTCCCTTCCCGGCTGCTCCCCCCTCTCCACACTCTGCTGGCTTTGAGTCCACAGTCCCCCATTCTGCAACCCTGGGGCCAACCCAGCCCTTCTCTTCCCCCACCCTCAGATGCCCCCTAGCACTCCCCCTTCCCCCCCCCAGGGTCCCTCCTCTGCCCCCGGCCTATGAAAAGCCCCTTTGTTGGGCAGGAGAGAGGGAGGTGGGGGAACCACAGAAGGAAAAAATGTTTCCGAGAGAGGGAAAGTTCAGGCCTGTGGAGGAGGCGTGATATCCCTCCCTACAGCCCCCCATATCTGCTCCTCCCCCCCAGCCATCCCAGTGCCCGCTCCCTATGTCTACCCCCCAGCCAGTTACCCCTCCTCAGTCTGTCCCAAGGGACTCTCCCTCCCTGCCCCCCCAGGAATCGCTCCCCACTCCCTGCAGTGTCCATCCCAGCTAAAGGGGGGGATGTCCGGGAACTAACCCCCCTCCCAGCAGCCCAGTCACCCTGGTTAGGTGAAGGTGATGGGGGGAGGGTACACAGCAGGTGTGTGAAGGAACACAGCTACACAATGGGCACAGAGACACACCACTACACACCCACACCAACCACCCCACACACCCCCAGGCGGAGACACAACTGTCTACACACACAACCTGGGCGGGTGGGGACACAGGTACAGAACTACACGTGCTCACACACACAACAGACACACCCCCCCCCTTGTGGCAGGAAACACAAGTACACAACTGAAAAGGAGGACTTGTGGCACCTTAGAGACTAACAAATGTATCTGAGCCTAAGCCAACTGTCTGGAACACACGGAGCTGCACACCTGCCTACACACCCACCCCTTACACACCCTGCGGGGGGGCAGCTGACTCCACACCCTACTGGGAGACACAACTGTGCAAGCCCCACACACTCACAACACAGGGCCAGAGCGGTGCGGACCAGACACATGCAACCCTCCACCCCAGCCCCAGCCCAGCAAGACAGAGACCCCCTGAGTCCACCCCCCCATCCCGGAGTCTGCCCTGCGAAGGGAGAAGGGGGGATGCGGGGAGGGTGCAGGAGACATGGAATGAAGAATAGGGGAAGAAGGGGAGCAGGGGAGATTGGCGGGCAGAGGGGGGCAAGCAGGGAAGGGGAGGCAGTGTCGGAACGGAGGGGTGGGGGTGCGCAGTGGGGCTCTGCTCTCACTTCCCCGGGGTTATAAATCCCCTACACCCAGGCCAGGCGGCTCTGGCTCAGCACAGGCCGAGCTGGGCAGGGGGTCGGGGGAAGCCGCAGCCCAAAGATAAATAAACCCCCGCCCCAGCCCGGCACACACTCCCCCACTGTTCCCAGCACAACGAGCCTCTGTGTGTGCAGGGCCCCGGGGGGTGCAGGCCAAAACGGGAAATGGGGGGCCCTGGGGGGTGCAGGCCACACAGGCAATGGGGGGCCCTGGGGGGTGCAGGCCAACACGGGAAATGGGGCAAACCTGGATAGGTCGAGGGGGCAGATCCCCCATTTTCAGTCCAAGCCAGTCCAGGTGGGGGGGAGGCTGGATAAACAGGGTTGGATTTATCGCACCAGAGAACCCCCTGTGCCCCCATGCCAGCAATTCCCCCTCCCAGAGCCCCCCAATACCTGAGACATCCCCACTCTGACCCTGATGCCAGAGAAACCCCCACAAGCCCCCCCCGGCTGCCCAAGATCCACCCCCAAGCCTGGGGGAGTCTCCCCCATAAGAAGTTTGGGGGGCTAAAGTTGGGTATGGAATAAAAAGGGAGGACTGTACCCCCCTGAATTCCTGCCCCTCTCCCTACCCCCCACTCCATGACCCCTTCATCCAGTTCTCATTGCCCTAAAATCCCAGCCGTGCCTAAACCCCCAAATTCTGGCCCCCGTTTTCAGATCCCCTGAATTTCTGACCCTTCTGCACCCTTAAACCCCTGCTCCCCGGTACCCCCCATGCCCACCAGTGCCTTCCCCCTTGTCCCCCCATGGCCCCCACTGCCTGCCTCCCAGTACCCCCCATGCCTATCCCAAGGATCGGTCAGTGCCTGCGATGCCCAGAGAAGAGGGTGGGTGTTTCTGCCACATCACCCCAGCTGGCACCCCCAAGCCCCCCCCCCCGGCCACCTGCTGGCGGCTCCGCAAAGCACAATGGGGGGGGCTGGGTGACAGGCAGGGACACCCCCCCACCCCGGGCTCGGCTGTCACAGCTGGGACCTGCCTTCCGCAGTCCCCCACCCATCCCCCCTCCAGACACCGGGCCCCCACCCAACCCCTGGCCTGCCTCGTGTCTCCACTCGCACACCCAGACCCTGCACCCGCCTGCCCCCCACGCCGAGCCCGGGCTCCAGGGGACCGTGCCAGGGCCGTGGCACCACTCTTTGTGCCCCAGGGCTGATACCCCCCATGCCAGCCCTGGACTGGGCACTGACCTCCTACCGCAGCCCTTGATCCCCCCCTCCAGGGCATGGACACCCCTGCCCCGCGCCCCAGACATACACACCCCGGGCACAGAGCAGGGCACTGACCCTGTCCCAGATCTCCTGGTCCCAAACACAGAGACCCCCTGTGCCCTCCCTGCGCCCCAGACACAGACAGCCCAGCATCCCCCTGCGCCCCAGACACAGAGCCCCCCGGACCCCCCTGCGCCCCAGACACCCCCGGATCCCCCTGCGCCCCAGACACAGACAGCCCAGCATCCCCCTGCGCCCCAGACACAGAGCCCCCCGGACCCCCCTGCGCCCCAGACACCCCCCGGATCCCCCTGCGCCCCAGATACAGACAGCCCAGCATCCCCCTGCGCCCCAGACACAGAGCCCCCCGGACCCCCCTGCGCCCCAGACACAGAGCCCCCCGTACCCCCCCCGGGTCCCCCCCCGTACCTGCCCGGGCGCACAGAGCGGGCAGCAGCAGCAGCAGGGGCAGCAGCAGCCCGGGGGCCCGGGGGCGCCCGGCGCGGGCCATGGCCGAGGGGGGCTCTCCGGAGCCCGGCAGGAGCAGAGGGGGCAGCCCGGGGTCGGGGGCGCAGGGCGAGGGGGTCCCGGCTGCTCGGTAGCTCCGGCTGCCCCGTGTCCAGCCCCGGCTCCGTCTGCGAGCGCCCGGCTCCCTGCACCGTCCCAGCCCGGCCCGCTCCCCCCCGGCCCGGCCCCCCTCCATCCCTGCCCGGCCCCCCCGGCCCGCCCCACTGCCCGGCCCCTGTCCAGCCCTGCCCGTCCCGGGGCCCCCGCACTGCCCGGCCCCCCCGGTCCGCCCCACTGGCCCCTCCAGCCTAGCCCGGCCCGGCCCGCCCCCTCCAGCCCTGCCCGCCCCGGGCCCCCCCACTGACCCCTCCGGCCCCCCAATGCTCCCTGCCCCCAGCCCTGGCCCCCCGGCAGGGACCTCTCCAGCCTTCCAGCCCTACCCTGTCCGCCCCCTCCCGGCCCCCTTCCAGCCCCGGCCCCCCTCATCCTTCCTTCCCTACCTGCCCCCCAGTCTTGCCCTGCTGGCCCCAGCCCTGCCCTGCCGGGAGACCCGCCCCTTCCTACGCCCCTGCCCAGACCGGCCCACCCTGAGATCACCTCAGCCCCCCACTCACACCTGCAGCCCCCACCTCCCAGCTCTGCTCCACCCCCCTGCCTGGCTCCTTTCCCAGCTGGGAGACCCCTCCCCTCTCACCCCCCAAGCCCCCCGTACTCCCACTCTCCCTGGGAGACCCTGTTTCCTGCACACTCTGCCCCTAACTGCCCCTCCCACCACCTGACCCACAGCCCGATCTCTCCCCCCACTCAAAAATCCCCTCCCCCCAGAGATGTCCTTCCTCCCTTTACCCCTCCAAGCCCCCCCCACACACACACACACACCCTTTCCAGGTGAGACCCACCCCAGTGCCACCTCCCTCTCCTGGCTCAGAGCCCCCCATCTCCTAGCAACCCACCCCACTAACTCAGGAACACGCCCCCCATCTCTGAGCAGTCCCCTCCCTGCTCATGCAGGGAACCCCCAGCCCCTGGGGGGTGCTGTAGGAAATGGGCCTCCCCCTGCTGGGTGTACTTGGAGGGAGGGGGAGCTAATCACACACAGACACACAGCCCTGGACTGCACCCATTTCCCCCACCCCCACCCCCCAAGCAGGGACACAGCCCCTGGGCTGCAAAATCCAGACCGGTTCAGGGAGGCAGGAATGGGACGTGGGGCCTGTCCCCTTTATGGGGTGCCGGTTCCCAACTGGCCCCAGGGCAGGGATTGGCCAGTTTGGGGGTGGGAGCTAGGAGGCCTCCATTTCTCCAGCACAGCCGTTTGGTCAGGGTTGGATGCTGCCTCCTGGCAGGGTAGAGGGGCCAGCGAGCCGAACCCCTGATCCCCCCCAGAGCTGATCAGCCAGGCCAGCCCCTGCGCCTTCCCCTCCCTCCCCGTCAGCAGCTTCCCCGAAATAGGCACCCGGGGGTCCTGCCCAGGGCCCCGGCAGTGAGGGATGTGGGGGTCCCTGCCCAGCACTCCTGCAGCATGGGGGGGGCAGGCAGAAGCACAGATAATTGTGCAAGAGTGACCCTGCGTGTGCAGGTGCCCGCTAAGCCGTGTGCTGGTGAGCCCGTGGGTGTGGCAAGAGGTGTGAGTGTGTCTGCTCACTAGCCTGGGTGACAGCACCTGTGTGTGTGTGTGCCCCGGGCGGGTGTCGGCGTGCCCCGGGCGGGTGTGAGTGTGCCCCGGGCGGGTGTCGGCGTGCCCCAGGCCGGGTATCGGCGTGCCCCGGGCAGGTGTCAATGTGCCCCGGGTGGGTGTGAGTGTGCCCCGGGCGGGTGTCAATGTGCCCCGGGCGGGCGTCGGTGTGCCCAGGGCGGGTATCGACGTGCCCCGGGCGGGTGTAGGCGTGCCCCGGGCGGGTGTCGGCGTGCCCCAGGCGGGTGTAGGCGTACTCAGGGTGGGTGTGAGTGTGTCCCGGGCGGGTGTCAGCGTGCCCAGGGCGGGTATCAATGTGCCCAGGGCGGGTGTAGGCGTGCCCCGGGCGGTTGTCGGCGTGCCCCGGGCAGGTGTGAGTGTGCCCAGGCGGGTGTCGGCGTGCCCCGGGCGGGTGTGAGTGTGCCCAGGCGGGTGTCGGCGTGCCCCAGGCCGGGTATCGGCGTGCCCCAGGCCGGGTATCGGCGTGCCCCGGGCGGGTGTGAGTGTGCCCAGGCGGGTGTGAGTGTGCCCAGGTGGGTGTCGGCGTGCCCCGGGCGGGCGTGAGTGTGCCCAGGCGGGTGTCGGCGTGCCCCGGGCGGGTGTCGGCGTGCCCCGGGCGGGTGTCGACGTGCCCAGGCCGGGTGTCGACGTGTCCAGGGCGGGTGTCGGTTTGCCCCGGGCGGGTGTCGACGTGCCCCGGGCGGGTGTCGGTTTGCCCAGGGCGGGTGTCGGTTTGCCCAGGCCGGGTATCGGCGTGCCCCGGGCGGGTGTCGGTGTGCCCAGGCCGGGTGTCGGCGTGCCCAGGGCGGGTGTAGGCGTGCCCAGGGCGGGTGTAGGCGTGCCCAGGCCGGGTGTAGGCGTGCACAGGCCGGGTGTCGGCATGCCCAGGCCGGGTGTCGGCGTGCCCAGGGCGGGTGTCGGCGTGCCCAGGGTGCATGTGAGTGTGCCCAGGCGGGTGTCGGCGTGCCCAGGGCGGGTGTAGGCATGCCCCGGGCGCGTGTGAGTGTGCCCAGGCGGGTGTCGGTGTGCATGTGGACGCTGGCAGGAATGGAGGGGAGCGGGTGGGGGAGGACATGCTTGTGGATGGGGCCCTGGCCTGGCTGGTTTGATCCCTCGCTCCCTGGGGCCCCACAGCAAGTTACTGGGGCTCTCCGGACCTCAGCCCCCTCCCCCTCTCTCTGGGGCCCCACCTGGGTCTGTGCGAGGGGGTGGGGGGGTGGAGGCACAATAGGTGGGCAGGAGGGTCCCATCCCCTCCCCCCTCAGCAGGGCCACGCACTCACCTGGAAATGGCCTAGTGAGCACGGGGCCCTGTGTGCACGTGAGTGTGTAGCCATGCATGCGTGTGCGTACTGTGAGGCTGGGCATGTGCGTGTGACTGTGGGTGTGCGCGGATACGCCTGCCACCTGGAACACCCTCTTCATCACGGCCCAGGCCCGTCCTGGCCCAGCCCCAGGCTCACCATCCAGCCCCCACTCGATGCCATCACCCTTTTGGTACCGGGGCTGGCTTCAAGCTGCCCCCATGCGGGAGGGGCAGCTCCCCACAGACAGCCACAGAACTAACCCCCCCGAGCCCCCCGGCCGAACCTGCCTGCCCCAGCCTCGGCCCGGGGGACGGGCACTCCACGATCGCCCAGTTCCGCTCACGCCCTCGGCAGCTCCTGGCACCGGCCGGGCGCTGGCCCCCTGGGCTGACCCAGCCCGGCTGCTCTCGGGCTGCCGGTGCGCCAGGCTCAGCCTGTCCCGCTGCCCCAGCAGCGCGACATCGGGGCCTTGTGCCCCCCGTCTGTCTCTCTGTCTCCAGCTGTAACCACTGGGGCCAGGGCTTTGCTCTGGGTTTATGCCTCACCTGGCGCAATGGGGCTGGGGTCCCCGCACCACCCTCATACAGCTAGCAAATACCAACACCCAGTGGGGCGCACAGCATTCGGGGGGGAGAACAGCCCCGCCCTGCAGCTCCCCGGCCCGAGCACCAGAGACACCCCGGCTCCCTGGAAATTCATCGGTGCTGCCCCCTGTGGGAGGGGTCTGAGACTACAGCCCCCTTGGGACAAGCCCCTGCTGCTACGAGCCATGCCGCAGACGGGGCCTCGCCCAGCTCCTGGGCCCCAGCCCAGTGCTCCCACCATTCCCGGCACGTGGGGGAAGGAGACACGGGGGGGGAGAAATGGGGGGGATGAACAGGAAAGCCACCATGCCCAGGAGACTCCAGCCCAGCCCAGCCGAGGTATATCTGGATCCAGAGCTCCCCACCCGAGCTATAATCAAGGCTCTGTAATTAAACACTTCCCCTAGGAGCCAGGGGCCCAGTCCTGAGGGTGGGAGGCGGGAACAGATGGAGAGAGAGCCTGAAAATAGAGGGGGAAGGTTGGAGGTAGGCTGGGGGGAGGGGACACCGGGAGGGAGGGGCAGGCTGAGGGGGAGCAGAAGGGGGTTGGAAGTGGGGGATCAGAGGGGGAAGTTGGGGAGATGGAAGGGGGGAGCAAGCTGGCTGGGAGGAGGAGACAGGAGGGAAAGGATAAGATGTGGGGGACAGGGGCTGGCAGGGGAGGGGGCCGGTTGGGAGGGGCAGGTGGGGGTGGGGGGCCAGTGGGGAGGCAGGGGAGCCCCAGCTGTGGCCCAGGGCCAGGTCTCTGGCTCAGGCCGGCCCCACCCCAGCTCCCGCAATGAAAGGTTCCCCGGTAATTGCAGCCTGGCTCAGCCTGCCCCAGGGAGGCTCCCAGAGCCACCCACATCCGCACAGGGCTGTATATACCCTCGGCCGGGGGGAGGCATGGCCCAGCGGGGACAGCGCTAGGTTGGCAGAGGGACCCACCGAGCACATGGGGAGCTGGGAGACTGAACCCCGGGGCCAGGGGGATCCCTCAGGGGAAGGCTAGACCCTGGTGCCCTGGGTCCCACCGGCTGGGCCCAAGGGCTAGTTGGTTCCTGGTCTGCCAGGGTCAAAGCCCCGCTGGCCTCTGCCGGGGGCTGTTTGCACCGCTCACCCCCCGGGATGGGGGAAGTGGGGGGTTGTGGTTCGTGGCTGGGCCCCGGCCCAGCAGCCAGACAGCCGGGCCGTTCATGCCCGGCACAGAGCTGCCTCTGTCCGCCCTGCGGATAAACACGGCACCGAGACGCTGCCCAGGTTCAAAGGGGCCCTGGTGCGGCCCCCGCCCTGCCAGCTCCCAGCCACGGGGTGGGGCTCTGCGCTGAGACGGGGGGTGCCCACGGTAGCCTGGCTGGGAACAGGACCCCCACTGTCCATGAGGCAGGGACCGTCCTGCAGGGGGCGGGGCCTGTGTGGGAATCGCACGGCTGGCCCGTGCGCACCTGTGTGCGTTGCACTAGCGTGTGCGAGGAAGTTGTGTCTGGTGAGGCATGTGGTGCGCGTGCGTGCGTCTGCCCACAGCTGGGCGGATTTGTGCTGGCCAGCGAGTGTCAGAGGCCAGCCCCATCCGAGCACAAGTGTGCACTTTGCACCAACGCCTGCTACTCCGTGGGCACGCTGGTTTGTGCACGTCTGCACCTGCTTCCAGGGCTCCCGCCAGGGTGGAAGCGGGGGGCCTGCAGTGCTGGATCTCCCGTAACTGGGGGCCAGATGGGGTCCCTGAAGGGGGGGCAGCTGCTTCTGCTGGAGCCCTGTCTTGGGTCCCCCCCCACCCCACCCCAGCTGCCTCCTGCCCCCCAAGGTGACACATCATCAGGGGGAAGGGGACAAACACCAATAACCCACAGACACCCCGCATCTAACACTCACCCCCACAGATGCTGCTCCCCCTCCCCGGCTATTTTGGGAGATGGGAGTTTGCTCTGGGCTGGGACTAGAAATAGACACTGTGGCCGGAGGAGAGGGACCACGCCCTGCCCCCCCTTCTGCCCTCCCCCCCCCCCGCTTGCCTTGATCCAGCCCCGGCCCAGGGACTGGCTGGCTGGGGGGGTGGGGGTGAAGAATGGGACACAGGGCCTTTCCCCTCTAGGGATCCAGTGTCACCCTCTCCTGTAGGAGTCCCCCACCCGCCTCTGAGCCAATAATCCCCCACCCCCCAGTATCCCAGACCCCTAACCTCCCCTGCCCCTCCCGCCCAGGCAATATCCCAACCCATCCCCACACACACACGGGGGGAGAGTTTAGAGCCCCCAATTCTGCCTCCTCCCCCCAATAGCTATAAGGGTTGGGGGGGTGGGGGGTCAAAATAGACCAGAGGGGCCCAATCCCCTCCCCAGCCACTCTCTGGGCTGGGGAGGAACAGATCCTGTCCAGGCTGCTCTCAGGGCTGGGGGAACAGACCAGAGGGGTCCAATCCTGCCCCCAGCCAGCCCACTGGAGCGAGGTCTGCTTGGGGTCCCCGGCCCGGAAGGTGAGCTCAGCTCCGGGCACAGGGCAGCTGAACAAAGCCCCCCTTGTCCGCCCCCCCCACCCGGCTCAGACAAGCCCCATTGATGAGACGCGGCGGGGTCACCTCGGGCCACAGGAAGGGGTGTGTTTCCTAGCGGGGGGAGGGACCCCACAGGGACCAGCTGGCTGCAACTTCGCACTCCCTGCAGCGGGACCCCCCCCGTGTAAGGGCAGGAGGAAGGGGGGGCACATGTGGGGAGGCTGGGTGCACGAGGGGGGAGCAGGGTGGGTGGAAAGGACTCAGCTGTGCAGGGGGGGTCACTTGTCCCTACAGCAGAGGGGAGGTGCCAGGGGGACCCAGCTGTGCAGCAGGGATGGGGGGTCAGGTGTCCCTGCAGTGGGGGGTGGGGGGAGCTGTGCAGGGATGGGGGGTCAGGTGTCCCTGCAGCGGGGAGAGGGTGGTCATGGGGGGCGCTGATCTCTTGTGGATAGAGATGGAGGCCGCAGCTTGGAGCGGGGAGAGCTCTGCGGTCCACACAGATTGGGGAAGCAAGCAGGGCGGGGGGGGGGGGGCAAGGGATGGTTCTGTCTAGTCTCCTGCCCCACACATCCCTCCTGGATTGTCACCCTGGCGAAGGACTGACACCCCCCCCAACAGTGTGAATCACCCCAGAACTGTCCCTCCCATCCCAGCCAGGGGTTACAGCTGAGCCCCCGGCAGAGGGACGATCTCCCCCACCCCGCCCTGCTGAGCAGGAGAGTCACTCAGGGACCCCTATAGCCCCCCTGGGTCCCAGTTTGAACCATCCTCCCTCTGGTCTCCTCTCCCCCACCCCCTCCAGGGTCCAGGTTTGGACCGTGCCCCCATCCCCAGAGTTCCACCCCCTCCCGCCACCTGGTCCAAACTTTGACCATCTCCCCCACCCCCGCCCGCCCCCAGGGGACCAGCCCCCCACCAGGTCCCTGTCCCCGCCCCCACGTCAGAGAAACATCCCAGTCCCCTGCCCCCACAGGTCCCACGGGACACCCCCCAGGGGCGCTGGCACGTCACCACCAGGGGGAGGCGCTGTCCGTGGTTGAGAAGCAGCAGCTTTAATCACTGTAACTCCAAAGCAATGGGGAGGGGGAGGGGTTAATAATAATAAAAGCGAAAATAACTGGGGGAGGGGCATGCAGGGAGAAGGGCAGAGCGCAACGGGGGGCGCTGCTAAGGCAGGGCCCCCACCCGACACATCCCTCCCCCCACAGCAACTCAAACAAACTGTCCAAGCAGGGGGGCCTCCCAGACCCTGCAAACGGGGAGGGGGGGTGAGACATTCCTGCCACCCCCAATTCACTGGGGGTCCGAGCTCTGGCTCACAGCCACAGACACCACCCCCCACAGAGGCTGTAGGACCTACAGTAACCCCCCACCCACACCCCCGTGGGAGAGCTCATGGTCAGTGTGGATGGGGGAGGCTGCAGTCTGGATTCCGGAAGGCCGGGGGGGCGGGGAGGGTCTGGTACCTGCTGCATAGTTTGAGGTGGGGGAGGGGCGCAGGGTGTCGATTCAAAGTGCTAACTGGGTGCCTGAGAAAGGGGGGTTGGGGGGGTCGAGCGAGGCACAATCCCTCCTGTGATTTCAGTGTGACCTGCCCCGAAACCCCCAAACAGGGATTGCCCCTCCCCCGGCAGAATGGCAAGGAGGCGGGGGGGGGGCATGGCATTGAGAACTAATGACAGACATGAGCTGGCCCCCACCCAAGAGTGACTTCCCCCGCCCCACCAGGGCAGGTAACAGCCCCCACGGGCCCCAAAAGCGCAGGAGTCTCTCCACACACACCAATTCCTCACAGAGCACTGGAGGGGGATTTCGCCAGAAGACCCCCCCCATACGGGAAAAGGGGGCCATGCCAGACAGGGGAAGGTCCCCCCACAAGGTGAGGGGCGGGGCCAAGCTTCCCACACCATGGGGGGGTCCCACTGCCCTGCAGAGAGAAGAGGGAGATGGGGGATTATTTTACAGTGGGGAGTTTGGGGGGGCTCTTCCCACCCCCCTACCTGAAATCTCTAGCTTTGCTGCCCCCCAGCACACCAATACTGGGTGACACAGCACTGAGGGAGCCTGGTAGGTCAGCCCGGGGCACCCCACTACGGACGAGGGACCTGGGGTACCTCCAGAGAGTGCCAGCAACTGGGGGAACGAGGTACACCCCATAGCCCACCCCTGGGGAGCGGTCTGGGGCCACCCCAGTTCTAGGCAGGCACACAGGGTACACCCTACGGAGCTCCCAAACCAGGGATGGCGAAAGGGGGTATGCCCAGGGGGCCCCAACACGACAACTGACAACACTACCCTCAGGGCCTTCTCCTGGCAGCCCCCCAATAAGAGTCCGCAGCCCCCCCAGTCCAGTGGTGGGCGCTGGGGAGCTGCCGCGGGCTGCGCCGCTCTCTGTGTGACCGGCCGGGGGCTCAGGACAGCTGGTGGGGGGCCTCCAGCATCTCCATGAGGAAGGTGTCAATGGGGGTGTCCCCGATGAGCTTGAAGAAGAAGAGGTGCTCCAAGCACTTCAGCCCAATGGAGCGCAGGGCCGGCAGGCGTAGTAGCAGCTTGGCGAACCTGGGGGGCAGGCGGGGGGTTAGATGGGGAGTGGGCCTCACCCACTGCCCCAGAACCCCCCCAACTCCCTGTACACACGGCACCCTGCACCCCCCACCAGTGCCCCAGAAGCCCCCACGCTCCCCATACACACGGCACCCCACACCCCCCACGCTCCCCGTACACACGGCACCCCCCAACATCCCCACAACAGCCCATGCTTTGCTCCTCCCCCACCACGGAGAACCCCCCCCCGCACTCCACCCAGACAGGACGCAAACCCAGCCTTCCCCAGATAGAACCCCCACCCCACCCCACACACGCACACCCCCCCATGCCAGACAAGCTATGGGTCAGGCACCATGAACTGGCACCACCTAGTGGCCACCTGCAGCATCTACCACTCCAGGCACAGCGCTCACCTTACTGACAGCAGCAGCCCCGGGTGCAGACACCTGGGCACTGGCCCATGCCCCCAACACCATCTCCAGCCTCCCCTCCTTCCTGCCCCTCCCCATACCTGCCCTGCTGCTCGGGGTACTTCTGCTTGCAGTAGGACTCCAGAGAGGCGTAGACCTTCTCCCGCAGCAGCTCCACCTCCCCAGGGTTCGACAGCCCCTTGGCATCTGTGGGGGGTCAGCCCTCCTGGGATCAGCACCTACACAGCCTTCCCTGCCCCTCCCCCAGAGCTCCACACCCCCAGGGTGGGGGGGCTGCAAGGTCACAGAGTCAACAGCCTCCAAGGTGATAGGGTGGTGGACAACTGGGGCGAGGGGGGGGGTCAAAGGGTCCCTTACTAGGGTTGTAGAGGATGATGGGGGGAGGAGTCCCTGGGGATTGGGGGGGTTCTGGGGAGGTCCCTTACCCAGGCTGAAGAAGCTGGAGGGGGGAGGTAGCACCGGGAGGTTGGGGGGGGATCCTCAGGGGGGGTCCCTTACCCGACGTGGGGGCAGGCAGCGCAGGGGAGGTTTAGAGGGTCTCAGGGGGGTCCCTTACCCGGGTTGAAGAGAATGATGGCCCGGAGGCAGCCGAGCTCAGTCTTATCCATCCGCATGTCCCGCATCTTGGAGACCAGCTCAGTCAGCACCCTGGCGGGGAGCGGCACACATCAGCGGGCACTGGGGCAGGGATGCCCCCGCCACTGAGAGCTCAGCACGGGCTCCCCTGACCCCTCCTGAATCCCCACACTACGCCCTGGAGACCCTGTCCCCACCCTGTTGCTGTGCCCCATGGGAACCACAGCCTCCTTGGCAGCCCTGTGCCCCCCGGTAAGTGCAGCCCCCTTACCAGTGCTGTGCCCCCTGGGCCCCTGCCCCCCACCTGTCGAAGATGGCCCCCACGCCGGCGCTGTGGGCGCTGTTGCGATGTACATGCAGCCCCGTGGCCAGCAGGATCCCGTCCTTCACCGAGATGGAGCGGTGCGAGAAGGACGCGATGAGCAGCTCGTTCCAGCCTGGGGTGCAGGGAGAGTGGCTGAGAGCCAGACCAGGGATGCCCCAGATCCCCTACACCCCCCCGCCCCACAGCTTGTGCCCAGAGCCCCCCCACCCCGATCCCCTGGCCTCCCCACAGCTTGTGCCCAGAACTGCCCCCTTTGTGAGGGGTGAGGGGAATCCACCCCACCCGCCACGTGACTTAAGGGCAAAGCCAACCCAGTTCCACTGGCAGTCACCCCACCTCAACAGGACCCCTGTCCCCAGGAGCCACAGAGCAGAGGGGACAGTTTGGGGTCCCCTCCTTCTCTAGGATCCAGCCTGAAACCGTGTGCAATAAAGCCCCCTTGTCTCACTCCACCACCCTCTGCCTGGAGGCACCCCCCCACAGCAGCAGGACTTCCTGCCCACCCCCATCACTCACCTGCCCGCAGCAGGATGACCTGGTCGTCCAGAGGCAGCTCGGAGAAGTGGGGGATGCGCTTGGCCCACTCCACCAACGTGAAGAGCTGCTTGTCGGCTGCCTGGCAGATGTTGGTCACCGGGTCATTTGGCTGGGGGGGAGGAGGGAGAGAGTCAGACGCAGCCTCCTCCCCCCCCATCGCAGCCTCTGCTCTCCCTCCCCCCTTCCCTGCCCCCCCAGAGACCCCTTCCCTCCCCCCCCCCAGAACCCAGCCCCACCCCGAGGAACCCCCCTTCCCCAGAGCCCCTGCCTCCCCCCCACCCCAGACCTGAAACCCCATGCCTCTGGAGCCTCCTGTCCTCCCTGGACATGCCCCTTGCCAGGGCCCGGCTCCGCCCCCTGCCCCGCTCACCGAGCTGCCCCCAGTGCCAGAGCCGTCAACACTTTGGTCCGATTTCTGCTCCACGGCCAGCTCTGCCTCCAGGATCTTCTCCACCGGCATCTCCTCGTTCGCACCGCCCGCGAAATCCCCCTCGCCGTCCTTCTCCTTCCCCCGCTGCCGCTCCTCCTGCACCGCTGGGTGGGGGGGACGGGGAACACACACGGGTCAGACACGGCACAGACCCCCCCCCCCGACAACATCCGCCCCATTCCCTGCTGCCACCCCTCCTGCACTGCTGGGGGGAGACGGGGACGGGTCAGACACAGCACAGAACCCCCTCCGACAATGCCCTCCCCATCCCCTGCTGCCGCCCCTCCTGCACTGCTGGGGGGAGACAGGAACGGGTCAGACACAGCACAGAACCCCCCCCGACAACGCCCTCCCCATCCCCTGCTGCCGCCCCTCCTGCACTGCTGGGGGGAGACGGGGACGGGTCAGACACAGCACAGAACCCCCCCCCCCCCGACAACGCCCTCCCCACCCCCCGCTGCTGCCCCACATCTCCCAGAGGGGGACCTTCCCATCACGCATTTCTGGTAGGAGCAGTACCGGTACCGGTACCGGCCCCGCCCCCCTCCCTATGGCCCCGCCCCCAGGTGGGCAGTACCTTCCCTCTTCATGCCCGTGGCCAGGCATTTCTGGTAGCGGCAATACTGACAGCGGTTACGCTGACGCTTGTCCACAATGCAGTCCTTGTTATCCCGGCACGTGTAGGTCAGGTCCTTGCGGATCGTGCGCTTGAAGAAACCCTTGCAGCCCTCACAGCTGTACACCCCATAGTGCTTCCCTGAGAGGAGGGGGAGAGTCAGGGAGAACCCTGGCATCCGGGCCCCCAGCCCTCCGTAACCCACTCCCTTCCCAGAGCCAGGGATAGAACCCAGGAGTCCTGGCTCCCAGCCCCCCCTGCTCTAGCCCACTAGACCCCACTCCCCTTTCACAACTGAGGATAGAACCCAGGCTCCCTGGCCCCCAGTACCTGATGATCTGTCCCCACAGATGGCACAGAGGCGCTTCCCTGGCATCATGCCACCGTGGGGGTGGCACGGGAGACCCCGCACACCCAGGGGGGGCTTGACGTCTTCCGAACTGCTGACTGAGTGCATGCCCGACAGGTTCACAGTGGAGTTAATCTAGGGGCAGAGAGATGGGAGATGACCTGGCTACCCTGCAGTGCTCCGGGGGAAGGCGGGGGAAGGGAGCATGCCCCACTCCCCAATCCCTCCCCTCAGCTCCCATCCCCTCATGGGTATCAGCTCCCCAGAGGATCACGCCCCGGTCACCTCTAGGGCTCTAGGGTTCAGCCTTTCCCTCCCCTTACCCCTGTGGCGCCTTCCCTATTTTATCCACTTACCAGCTCACTGGCTGTCCGTCCACCCACACTGGATCCTGACTCCCCTGCCTCCAAGGAGACCATCCCCCTAACTCCCAACCCTCTCCCCAGGGCTCGGCTCCATGGTGCTCCGCCCCCTTGGGGAAGCCCCCAGCCCCTCCTTAATATCCCACCACAGCGTCCCTCAGCTCCCCAGCCCCCACCAGATCTCCTCTGACCCCGGGGGAGGAGCCACACTCCCCCTTACCTGGGGACTGCTTACAGGGCCATAGCCACTGGAGGGCGTGGCTGGGAGCCCTGGGGAACCTAAGGACGAGCTGATGACAGGGAAGGGCGAGCCCAAACTGCTGACGGGCGAGTTGATGGAGGAGGTCATGGCCGAGCTGATCATGGAGGGGTGAAGTGGGGCCGAGAGCTCCGGTGGGGGTGACGAGCTCAGAGACGAACTGTCGGGGCTCCTGCAGTCTGGGGGGGAAAGAAAGGGATTAGCTCATCAGCACAGCAGCCCCCAGTACCCAGCTGGAGAGATGGGGCGGACGGGGCACAACCAGTACGCACCCCCGGCAATGTGGTGCCCCTGTGCGCCCAGCTGGGGAGATGTGCCCCCCCCCCAGGGAGACGGGGGGCAGCTGAGACAACACCCCCACCCTGCAGCATGGCACCCCCTGGTGCCCGGCTGGGGAGACAGCACAGCCAGGACATCCCCCTCCCTCCCCAGCAGCGTGGCACCCCGAGCGCCTGGCTGGGGAAATGTGCCCCCCCTTTAGGGAGACGGGGGACAGCTGGGATGACACTTCCCCCTGCAGCACGGCGCCCAGTTGGGGAGACAGAGCACCTAGGGCAGGGCTCCCAGTAACATGATGCCCCCTGGGATGACAGGGCACAGCGGGACCCTCCCCCCGCAGTGTCTCGACCCCTGGGGAGATGGGGCACCAAGGGCACGGCCCCCAGCAGCATGGCACCTCCCGCTGGGGTTACTGCAGGTCAGCCTCTGCCCAGATGCCTGCACTTCCCCCCCCAGCTATTGCACAAGAGCCCAGCGAGCACATGATCACCCCGCCCACAACAGGCACCTTGGGGGAGAGAAGGGGGTCAGGAGTGGCCCCCAGAAGTGGCCCCCCCCAGCACTTTGGGAATGGCCCCCCCACGCACTTCCACCTGCAATCCCTGGGCAGCTCTCGGCCTGCCAGCGCGGGGGGGCTACGTGCTCTGGGGGGACAGGTCTCCCCCGAATCCCACGGAGAGGGGCAGCCCCCCGCCTCGGCCAGGGGTCTCTGGGACACAGGACCCCCACGCTGGAGGGGGGACCCCCGAGAAGGGCTTGCCTGGGCCCCACCGCCGGGTCTCCCTCCCCAGCGCCCCCCCCCGTGCAACCTCCCAACCCCACCGTTTTCCACCCTGGGCCCCCCACCCGCCCGACCTGACGGGCGGCTCGCGGGCAGCCTCGCCTCCGCCCGGGGCACCCCCCACCCTGGGGCCTCCCCCCACGACAGGGCCCCCCGTTACGTCACAACCCGGCCCCCCCGCGGGGTGTCTCGGGCCCCCCCCGGCTCACCGCGGCCGCGGTCTCCCATCCCGGGGCTCCCCGCTCCGTGCCGGGGGGATCCGGGCCTCAGACCCCCCCGGGCTCCGGCCTGATCCAGGCTCCGCCACCGCCTCCTGCGGGAGCCGAGCGGACCCACACTGCACCGCGGCCGGGCCCAGCCGACCCAGCATGCCCCGCGCGGGGGCCTCCCCGGCCCAGCATGCACCGCGGCCGGCCGCAGGATACCCCGCGCGGGGGACTCCCCCGCCCAAACTGCACCGCGGCCAGGCCCAGCATGCACCGCGCGGGGAGAGGGCATTCCGGCCCATAATGCACCGCGCGAGGGCTTGTTCGGCCCATCATGCACCGGGGCGAGACTATAAACTAGCCCACAATGCACCATTGACCATCCACGAGAACCCGCCCCCTCCGCCTTCCCGGCATGCAACGCTGTGAACCATAGAGACGGGATTTGTTCCAAACAGTCATTGTAACCGATCTATCGGCTTCCCCCCAGCCCACTTGCAATAGAGAGGGGAGAACATTCTAAACTGTCCCCGTTGGTTGCCACCACATCAGTGGGGGGCGGGAAAGCGCTCCGCCCTAAACAAAGACGGCGCCCTCTAGTCGGGCTTCAACCCGCCCCGCACAAAGATGGCGCCCCCATGGTAATTATCCGTGTCGCCGCCGTCACCATCTTTGTGAGGGGCAAACTGGCGGCCTGCTGCTGCTGCCTCCATCTTTAAGACGGGCGATGTGACGCTCTATGGTGGCCGCCATCTTTGTGAGGGGCACGGCCGGCTCGCGGGGGAGGGGGTGGACGGGCCTGGGCATTGTTCCCGCGAGATTTTGGAGGGGGCGGAGCCTGGATGCCACGTCGGGTCTGAGCCGGAGCTAACGGAGCCCAGTGACGGTGAGACCCGCCGGGGCATAGAGATGGGGGAGGGGGCTAGAGGGGCCGCGTGGGCCTGGGGCTCGGGAGCTGGGAGGACGGGGCCCCAGGGCCATAGAGAGGAAGGGGTCGGCGGCTAGAGCGCCCTTGGGTCGGGGGCTCGAGGGGCCCCGCGGGGCCCGGGACCAGCCCAGGCTGGGGGCCGCGGGGCCGGGCCTGGGGGCGGGGGCGGGCCTGGGGGCTGGCGCGGCCGGTGCAGGGGCCGCTCGGAGGGGCAGTGGCCATAGAGATGCGCGGCCAGAAGGGCCGCTGGGGCGCCCCGGGCTGTAAATACCCGCCGGGCCCCTGGGCCCCCCGCCCCGCAGATCCCCGAGCCCCGTGTCCCCGCCGGGCCCCTGGGCCCCCCGCCCCGCAGATCCCCCGGGCCCCGTGTCCCCGCCGGGCCCCTGGGCCCCCCGCCCCGCAGATCCCCGAGCCCCGTGTCCCCGCCGGGCCCCTGGGCCCCCGCCCCGCAGATCCCCGAGCCCCGTGTCCCCGCCGGGCCCCTGGGCCCCCGCCCCGCAGATCCCCTGTCCCCGCCGGGCCCCTGGGCCCCCCGCCCCGCAGATCCCCGAGCCCCGTGTCCCCGCCGGGCCCCTGGGCCCCCCGCCCCGCAGATCCCCGAGCCGCTGAGCCCCGTGTCCCCGCCGGGCCCCTGGGCCCCCGCCCCGCAGATCCCCGAGCCCCGTGTCCCCGCCGGGCTCCTGGGCCCCCGCCCCGCAGATCCCCGAGCCCCGTGTCCCCGCCGGGCCCCTGGGCCCCCCGCCCCGCAGATCCCCGAGCCCCGTGTCCCCGCCGGGCCCCTGGGCCCCCCGCCCCGCAGATCCCCGAGCCCCGTGTCCCCGCCGGGCCCTGGGCCCCCGCCCCGCAGATCCCCGAGCCCCGTGTCCCCGCCGGGCCCTGGGCCCCCGCCCCGCAGATCCCCTGTCCCCGCCGGGCCCCTGGGCCCCCCGCCCCGCAGATCCCCGAGCCCCGTGTCCCCGCCGGGCCCTGGGCCCCCCGCCCCGCAGATCCCCGAGCCGCTGAGCCCCGTGTCCCCGCCGGGCCCTGGGCCCCCGCCCCGCAGATCCCCGAGCCCCGTGTCCCCGCCGGGCCCCTGGGCCCCCCGCCCCGCAGATCCCCGAGCCCCGTGTCCCCGCCGGGCCCCTGGGCCCCCCGCCCCGCAGATCCCCGAGCCCCGTGTCCCCGCCGGGCCCCTGGGCCCCCGCCCCCGCAGATCCCCTGGGCCCCCCGCCCCGCAGATCCCCGAGCCCCGTGTCCCCGCCGGGCCCTGGGCCCCCCGCCCCGCAGATCCCCGAGCCCCGTGACCCGCCGGGCCCCTGGGCCCCCCGCCCCGCAGATCCCCTGGGCCCCCCGCCCCGCAGATCCCCGTGTCCCCGCCGGGCCCCTGGGCCCCCGCCCCGCAGATCCCCGTGTCCCCGCCGGGCCCTGGGCCCCCGCCCCGCAGATCCCCGTGTCCCCGCCGGGCCCCTGGGCCCCCCGCCCCGCAGATCCCCGAGCCCCCTGTCCCCGCCGGGCCCCTGGGCCCCCGCCCCGCAGATCCCCTGTCCCCGCCGGGCCCCTGGGCCCCTGCCCCGCAGATCCCCGTGTCCCTGCCTGGGCCCCCCGCCCCGCAGATCTCCGAGCCCCGTGTCCCCGCCGGGCCCCTGGGCCCCCCGCCCCGCAGGTCCCCGTGTCCCCGCCGGGCCCCTGGGCCCTCGCCCCGCAGATCCCCGAGCCGCTGAGCCCCATGTCCCTGCCGGGCCCCTGGGCCCCCAGAGCCGCTGAGCCCCGTGTCCCCGCCGGGCCCCTGGGCCCCCGCCCCGCAGATCCCCGAGCCGCTGAGCCCCGTGTCCCCGCCGGGCCTCTGGGCCCCCGCCCCGCAGATCCCCGAGCCGCTGAGCCCCGTGTCCCCGCCGGGCCCCTGGGCCCCCCGCCCCGCAGATCCCCGAGCCGCTGAGCCCCGTGTCCCCGCCGGGCCCCTGGGCCCCCCGCCCCGCAGATCCCCGAGCCGCTGAGCCCCGTGTCCCCGCCAGGCCCCTGGGCCGCCGCCCCGTGCCCGCGAGATCCCCTGGCCGCTGAGCCCCGTGTCCCCGCCGGGCCCCTGGGCCCCCCGCCCCGCAGATCCCCAAGCCGCTGAGCCCTGTGTCCCCGCAGGACCCCTCAGCCGCCCCGCGCCCGGGAGATCCCCGAGCCGCTGAGCCCCGTGTCCCCGCAGGGCCGCTCTGGGCCCGCCGCCAGCCCTGTGGCCCTGCAGCGCTAGATCGGCTCCGGTCATGGGAGTGGTTGTGTCGAGCAGGCTCTAGACCCTGCTGCCCCTCGGTGGTTTTACACTGGTCTCTCTAGAGTTTCTTCCACGTTTCTGTGGCCCCTCTACCTCCGCTGGAGGGAGTGGGGACTCGAGGGGATATGTGAGCGTGACGGGGACGGTCATGCTCCCACTCCCGCTTTCCAGCCGTGACAGCAGGATGGTGCTGCCTGGATGGACGCAGGGCAGAGCGGGACTCTGTGGCCCAATTGCCACCGTGATGGTCTGTGCAGCGCTGATACAGATCACTTCTTCGCATGAGGATCTGCACCACGGCCACAGCCACGCCGGGCACAGCCACGAGGATCTGCACCACGGCCACAGCCACGCCGGGCACAGCCACGAGGATCTGCACCACGGCCACAGCCACGCCGGCCACAGCCACGAGGATCTGCACCACGGCCACAGCCATGAGGATCTGTACCACGGCCACAGCCACGCCGGGCACAGCCACGAGGATCTGCGCCATGGCCACAGCCATGCTGATCACAGCCACTCGCACGAGGACTTCCACGGCCATGGTCATTCACACGAGGACTTTCATGGCCATGGGCATTCACACGAGGACTTCCACGGCCCCAGCCAGGCTGACTTTAGCCACCAGCCCGAGGAGGTCCATGTTGTGCACTCGGCTGAGGGGTCCCCGAGCCACCAGCAGTTGCCTGGGAAGGAGAGGCAGGACTTGGTCAAGCTGTGGACACACGTGAGTTCCCGTGTCAAACGTGGAGGTGCTGCCTTGCACGTGCTTGCAGCGGCGTAACCCCCTGACAGTCTCTCTCCTCCCCCCTTCCCCCAACCTCTGCAGGCCATCGGAGCCACCTTGCTGATCAGTGCTGCCCCCTACTTCATCCTCTTTCTCATCCCCGTGGAGTCAAACACTTCCCAGCACCAGGCCCTGCTCAGGCTGCTGCTCAGCTTTGCCTCGGGGGGACTCCTGGGGGACGCCTTCCTGCACCTCATCCCCCACGCGCTGGGTGAGCGGCACACAGACGGAATGGGACAAGGGGCCTCTCGCCTCTCAGGGTCCCAGCTCCACTCCGGCCTGGGGCAGGGGGACTGGCTGGCTCGGGGGCGGGGAATGGGATACAGGGCATTCCTCTCTGGGAGGCGCCTGTGGTGCGGCCCATCTGGCTCAGGGGGCAGGAAATGGGCCCTCTCCTCTCTCGGGGGTCTGGTCACTCATCTCTGCCCCTTTCCCTCCCCAGTGCCCCATTCCCACCACGTGGAGGGCGGCCATGCCCATTCTCACTCCCCCACGGTGTCGCCTGGCCATGGTCACTCCCACCAAGGTGAGGCCGGGGGCAGTGGGTGGGGGAAGGAAAGCTGGACAGACTGGGGAAAGGGGGCTGTGGTTGGAGGTTTGTGTGGGGCAGCATGAAGGGGGCCCAGAAGGGCTAGGGGTCCTGTGGAGAGCTGGAGTGGCTCGTGTCTGTGGCTAGGACAGGGGATGGGGGTAATGGCTATAGGGGAGGTGTAGTGGAGAGCAGGTTAGTGGGTTGGTACTCTTCCCCCCCCGCCCCAAGGACGGCATCCCTGGCAAGTGACAGTAGAGGGGCTCTGGTCCTGGGAGGGGGGCTGTACCATGGTGGGGGGAGGGGGGGCTGGCAGTCTCTTTCACAGCCTGCCCAACACTGTCTCTGCCCCCCAGGGCAGGATCACCAGCGGATGATGGCTGTGGGGCTCTGGGTGCTGGCTGGCATCGTAGCCTTCCTGGTGGTGGAGAAGTTTGTGAGGCACATGAAAGGGGGACATGGCCACGGGCACAGCCACGGCGGGCACAGCCATGGTATGTACCCCAGAAGACCCCCATGTCCCAGCCCCCCACGGCCCCCCCCCGATCCCCTGCCCATGGGTAGAGCCACGGTGGCACAGCCATGGTACGGACCAGCTGGAACACCCTCCCCCATCTCCAGCAGCCCCTGCTTGTGCCTGTTGTTAGAATCCCAGGTCCGGTTCTGAAACCTGCAACTCCAGTGGGCTGGGGATACATTGGGGAGGGGTCAGAGAAGAGCCACGAGAGCGGTGAAAGGGCTGCAAAACCTGGAGTCCAGGAGCTCCATCTGTTTCGCTGAACCAGGAGACGGTGAAGGCGTGACGTGAAGGAGATGAACATTTCCGGCCGGGCTCCCCAGTGTAGCCCAGAAAGGTCTAACACCATCCACCGGCTGGGAGTTTTTAACAGGGAGGGGAATGAACTAGTGGAACCATTTCCCGAGGTCCTGGCAGATTCTCCACCCTGGCTGTATTTAACTCACGGTTGGCTGGTTCTCTCTGAGATTTGCTCTGGGGATTATCGTGGGTCAGGTCTCTGGCCTGTGCTGTAAAGGGGGTCAGACAGTTCCTTCTGGCCTCAGAATCCATGGATTGGAGTGGGTTTGGGAAGGTGTGGGGGGGTGTCCATACAAGGGCCCTGATGGGGGTCTGCAAGTGACTCTAGGGATCAGTGGGAGGGGTGCTGGGGGGTCCTGGACCCACACAGTAGTGAGAGTCTTCCTCCTCTCCCTGCACTGTCCCTGGGCGGGCTCCTGGGGGTGGGACTAAAGCATCAGCCCTGACCCCCCCCCCCCCCCCCACCTACCTCCCGGTCCACCTGCAGCTCCCAAGGCGAAGAGCAGCTCTGGTGAGGAGGACAACGGGCCCCAGGAGAGGAAGGCTGGCAAGGTGCGTGCCCCTGACAAGGCAGCCGCCAAGAAGAGGGGCCAGGAGTTAGAGGAGCGGACTCAGGAATCCAGTAAGTTGTCGCGGGGGGGGGGTGTTGGAGGGAGGGAGCTGGGTCCGTGGGGGGGCACCATGGCACAGAGAGCATCTGGGGAAGGATAAGGGGGGGAGGTGATCAGGTTGGAGGTGTTTCAACTCTTGTCTCCCTCCCCCCAGCAATGAAGGTCTCAGGGTACCTGAACCTGGCGGCTGACCTGACGCACAACTTCACGGACGGGCTGGCGATCGGGGCGTCGTTCCTGGCGGGGGCCGGTGTGGGGGCCGTCACCACCCTCACCGTGCTGCTGCATGAGGTGCCCCATGAAGTGGGCGACTTCGCCATTCTCGTCCAGTCGGGCTGCAGCAAGCGCAAGGTACAGCCCCCGCCCCAGGATCTCTGCTGACCCTGCCCCCTTGCTAACTCCTCCCCGGGACCCCCACTGCTGCCTGACCCCGCCCCTATATTCCCCTACTCACCCCTGCCCCGGGACTCCTGTTAAGGCCTGACCCCATCCCCCTGTATTCTTCTGCTGACCCTGCCCCAAACCCCCACTTACCCCCCAGTCCCACCAAAGCCCATAGCCCTCCACTGACCCCCTGGCCCCGCCTATATCCCCAGAGCACCCCCTGTCCCTCCCTACTGCGCCAGCCCCCCCACGTCTAACCTCTGGTCCCCCACCTCCCCAGACTTCCCTGGACCTTTCTGCCTCTCTCTCCCCTTCCTTCCCCCCCCCATGCACACAGTGAGGTTGTGACAGCTGGGGGTGCCGAAAAACAGGGCCTGCTCCCCCCCATCTGTGACTTTCTTTCCCCCCACAGGCTCCCCCCCCCCCCCATGTTCACAGTGACATGGACGCTGGGGGTGCTGGAAAGCAGGGCCTGCTTCCCCCGGTCTGTGACTCTCTCTCCCCCACAGGCGATGAAGCTGCAGCTGCTGACAGCGCTGGGCGCCCTGGCAGGCACGGCCTGCTCACTGCTGGCCGAGGGCATCGGAGAGGCGGCCACAGCCTGGATCCTGCCCTTCACGGCGGGCGGGTTCATCTACGTGGGCACTGTCTCGGTGATCCCGGAGCTGCTGCGGGACGCAGCGCCCCTGCAGTCCCTGCTGGAGGTGCTGGGTCTGGTCTGCGGCGTCGCCATGATGGTGCTCATCGCGCAGTACGAGTAGCAGGCCCCAGCGGGGGGCGCCTGGGGGGGGGCGGTGCCGTGTGGACCCAGGCGTCCGGGATGGGACTCCATTTGGACTCCTGGGGCAGGGGGTGTGGTGGACCCTGGCATCCGGGACACAGGGGGGAGGGGAGTGGGGAACAGCTCTGCATGGACCCTGGTGTCCAGGATGGGGGATGCTATGTGGGCTGTGGGGGGGAAGCCACATGAATCCTGGTGACCAGGGTGGGGGGACGTGGACCCCCATCCCAGATGCCTGGGTCCACACAGAGCTTCCCCCCAGGGAGGGGTGCTGTGTGAGCCCTGGGGGTTTCTGGGGGGCAGGGAGGCTGCAGTGCGTGCTGTGGGGAGAGGGTGGCATGGACACTGGTGTCCAGGTGCTGACACTCTCTGGGATTGGGTGGTGACGTGGACCCTGCGCAGTGCGGGCTCTGGGGCTGGGTTAGACCTTGGGGCAGGCACCATATAGACTCCAGGGATATGAGGTGCCCTGTAGACGCAGGCATCTCTGCTTGGGAGAGGGGGTCAGCCGCACAGCCCCAGCAGCCAGGGACAGAGGATGGCCCAGACACCAGGGTGGGGGGAATCTCATGGGCCCCGGCATCCAGGAGCATCAGCTGAACAGGGAGTGTGCGAACCTGGGGCAGGGGAGATAATGTGATGCTGTTTGATTTGTTTTCTGGGAGGGTCAAAAACCAAGTCCCTCCCCACCTCCCCACCTCCCCGGCCCTGTGTGTCCCCCTAGGGGGGCAGCTGGGCCGCCCCTTCCTTTGGAAGGGGGAGTTTATGGAAGTGAATCCTCTGGGCCACATCATGGGTTGGTTTAGAGAAGATGGGGAGAAAAGCCCCTGCCCTCTGGACCACGTGGGGGGCTACATGGGGGGTTACCCAGAATCCTTTGCTTCTTGGACCAGGTTTTATTGGGGTAATTACCCAGAATTCTCTGCCACAACCCACCCTGTGTGGCCCCCAAACCAGAGCAGCTATCCAGGCTAGTTCCATATGGGGGAGCTGCCCTGAGCCCCCTACCACACTGGGGACCAAGGGGGACAGAGTGGGGGCTAATCAAGACACTGCTAGGGGACAGTTCCCCGACAGAGGTTATTTTGGAGGGGACTGGGGGTGATTCTGGGGTGCAGGGGCTTTGGTGATGGAGGGGACAAGCAGACCCAGTCATCTGGGGCTGCCGGGGGAGGGGGGGATTGGCATGCAGACCCAGGCACCGGGACCTGGAGGAATTAGCACGAACTGCAGGATCAAGGGGGGCCGTGCGGACCCAGGCGTCCGGAGCTGGAGGGTGAATCACAAGCACCTGGCTCAGGGGTGTCCCTATTGAATGGTATGTCCTGGGGGAGGGACTGTTAATTGGGGGTGACTTTGGAGCCTGGTGGTTGTGGGGTCAATTACTCCCCGGGGTGGGCAGGAAAGGTTTTATAAGGGGGGGGTGTATTTTTGTATATGATTTTGCTTTTGTATGGGTGGGTTGGGGGCCAGGAGGGGGCAGGGTGGGGCCTTGCAGGACTATTTTGTGGATGATTGTAACGAAAATTGTGTCATTAATTAACAAATTAAACAATAATCTGAGACGCTGTTGGTGCGAAGTCTGTATGTGCTGGAGGAGGGGGGTGGCGGTACCCCATGGAAAGCAGGGGGCACAGAGTGACCCCCCTCTGCCTGCTCCATCAGGATCTGGCCCTGGCTCCCAACCCCCGAGCAGGGAGGGAACCCAGGAGTCCCGCCCCCTGGGCCGGGAGGACTCTGACCATAGAGTTCCCGCCTAGCGCCGCCGTCCCTGGGGCCCGTCCCCGCGCCCGCTCTGTGGTCCCCGCCCGCTGTCATGGCGGCCCCGCTACGGCTCCGCTCCACGCTGGCGCTGGTGACAGGTGCCCCCAGCAGGGGGCGCTCGGGGGCGGGGCCTGAACCCCCCCCCATGGGGAGCCAGCGCCCCCCCGGCTACGCGAGGGGGGCTGAGGCGGGGGGCACGGGCACCCCTCCCCCATCCGGCCTTTGGGCGGGGGGGGCATTTGGGGGATTTTGAGGCCTCCCTGCGGCTGGGGGAGGTTCGGGGGGGGGTTCTGGTTCCCCCCACGGCAGGCGGGGGAGGGAGACTGGTATGGCTGTCTGCTGGGGGGTGTTTCTGGGGGTCCCTGGAGGGGTTCTGGGTCCCCCCCACCCCGTCCCTGACCCTGGTCCCCCCACGGCAGGCGGGGGAGGGAGACTGGTATGGCTGTCTGCTGGGGGGTGTTTCTGGGGGTCCCTGGAGGGTTCTGGGTCCCCCCACCCCGTCCCTGACCCTGGTCCCCCCACGGCAGGCGGGGGAGGGAGACTGGTATGGCTGTCTGGGGGGGTGTTTCTGGGGGTCCCTGGAGGGGTTCTGGGTCCCCCCCACCCCGTCCCTGACCCTGGTCCCCCCACGGCAGGCGGGGGAGGGAGACTGGTATGGCTGTCTGCTGGGGGGTGTTTCTGGGGGTCCCTGGAGGGGTTCTGGGTCCCCCCAACCCCGTCCCTGACCCTGGTCCCCCCACGGCAGGCGGGGGCAGCGGGATTGGCCGTGCAGTCTGTGCCCGGCTGGCCGAGGAGGGGGCGCTGGTGGCTGTGGCTGACCAGAATGAAGTGGGGGCTGCGGAGACAGTGCGGGGGCTGCCACGGGGGGAGCCCGGCCAGGAGCACAAGGCATTCGGGGTGGACGTCAGCTCCGCCCAGAGCGTGGGGGAGCTCATGGCTCGGATCCAGGTAACAGGGCTGGAGAGAACCCAGGAGTCCGGGCTCTCCCCATTGTAACCAGTAGATTCCTCTCCCCTCCCAGGGAACCCAGGAGTCCTGACTCCCACCCCACCACTCTAACCACTGGGCCCCACTGCCCTCCCTGAGAACCCAGGTGTCCTGACATTCCCCCCCCCCCGCTCACAAACACACACACATGCTCTAACCACTAGGTCCCACTGGCCTCCAGAAGAACCCAGGCCCTCTGATTCCGCCCCCCCCCACTCTAAGCACAAGCCCCCACTGGCCTCCGGGAGAACCCAGGCTCCCTGAACCCCTGCTGTCCTCAGGCCCAGTTCTCCGCCCCACCCCGGGTCTGCGTGAGCTGCGCTGGGATCACCATGGACGAGTTCCTGCTCAAGCAGACAGAGGCGGCCTTCGACAAGGTGCTCCAAGTCAACCTCAAGGTACAGGGGTCTCCGGACGGGGGCAGGGCAGGGCCCCCCCAGCTAGGATCCCTCCCGGCTAACTTGGCCCCCTCTCCCCAGGGAACCTTCCTGGTCACCCAGGCTGTGGCGCGGGGGCTGGTGGAGAGCGGAGCCCCAGGGGGGTCCATCATCAACATGGGCAGCATCGTGGGCAAGGTGAGAGCTGTGAGCTTCCTCAGAGGATAATAGGGGCTGTCAGCTTCCCTGGAGCAGTGCCATGGGGGGGGGATAGTGGGGGCTGTCAGCTTCCTTGGAGCAGTGCCATGGGGGGGGGATAGTGGGGGTTCTGAACTTCTCCAGAGCAGTGCCCTGGGGGAGAGATAATGGGGGCTGTGAGCTTCCCCGGAGCAGTGTCCTGTACTCACATGTCCCTCTCCCTGACAGGTGGGGAACCTGGGGCAGGTGAGCTACGCAGCGTCCAAGGCTGGTGTGGAGGGGCTGACCAAGACCGCTGCCAAAGAGTTGGCCAGGTGGGGCTGGGCAGTCCAAGTGGGCAGGGGGGCAGGCTGCGGGGGGACTGTAGGGCAGGGGGGCAGGCTTGGGGGGGAGGACTGCAGGGCAGGGGGCAGGCTGCAGGGTGGGCAGGCCAGGCTGTGGGTACAGGCTGGTGGGTGCAGCTGTGGGGCAGGCTGAGGAGGCCTGGGAAAAGTAGGGCAAATCATGGGCAGGGTGGCAGGCTGTAGGGCAGGGGGATGGTGTGGGGGTGCTGTGCTGGGATGTTGGAGGCCTGGGGCTTAGGCTGGGATGGAGGTGTTGGAGGCAGCTGGCTGGTGGGGGGAAGCAGGCCAGGGGGAGCTGTGGTAACCAGGCAGGGGGGCTGCCCTCTCCCCCATGGTCCCCCCCAGGTTCGGGATCCGCTGTAATGTGGTGCTTCCCGGGTTCATCACCACCCCCATGACGGACAAGGTCCCTCCCAAAGTGCTGCAGAAGGTAACACCGGAGGCGCTGGGCCCCATAACTCCCCCGCCCCCTCCCTTCAGAGAATCTGCCCTGTATCATCCTGAGCCCCACAACCCTTCTCTGCCCCATAGTCCCCCTCTACCCCGTTATCCACATGCCCAGCCCACCTTTCCCTCTGAAGAACCTGCCCCATATTCCCCCGTCACCCTGCCCCCCACAACCTCCTCTGTCTCATACCTCCCCCAGTGCCCTCCTCCCCACTGAGCCCCACAATCTCTCTGCACCCCTTATTCCTGCCCAGAACCCCCCATTGTTCCACAACCTAGGGGATGGGAGATATTGGGGCTGTGAGCTTCCTCGGAGCAGTGCCCTGGATGGGACTATCTGGGGCTGTGAGCTTCATCTAAGTGGTGCACGGGGGGGTGGGGGGGGTGCACTATATCCCCTGAAGCACCCAGCCCATAACCCCTTATTCCCCCCTCCCCCCTGCAACACCTCTCCTTCCCCTGCAGATCCATGCCTTGTCCCCTAGTTCCCCACTTTCCCCTGGGGTGCAGGGGGGCTCCATGCTCAGGAGCCATCTCTGACCCCTCCCCTCCCGCTGCTCAGTTTGCAGGGATGGTGCCGTTGGGACGACTCGGGGACCCCAAAGGTGAGACCCCCTGACTCAGGGTGCCCTGTGCAGGGGGGGCTGGATCTGTCAGGTGTGGGGAGGAGGGGTGTTGGGCACAGTTCTGGGGGGTGCATGTATAGATTGGGGTACTGGGGGGTCAGGGCTGTGCACACTGATTTGGGGTGTTGTACGGAACGCTCCCCACGAGGTAAGGGGCTGTGGACCCCACACGTGTGGCTGTTACTGACCCCCCCCTTCCGCCCCCAGAGGTTGCTGACGTATGCGCTTTCCTGGCCTCAGAGGAGAGTCGTTACATAACAGGGGCCAGTGTGGAGGTGACAGGTATGGGGCGGGGCGGCAGCAGGGCGGGGGAGGCCTGGGAGCCAGGACTCCTGGGTTCTAGCCCAGCTCCGGGAGACCAGGG